TTTGTACCTTTATACACAATGTCGATTGCAAAGCCTTACCGGGCGGCAATTTCTTCGAAATGTCGCTTTGTTATTCATTACATTGTTTGTCGTGTCTTCAGCAATACATTGTGAGTATGTTCTGCGTACTAATGTCAGCATCAATGGTTATTGTAAAAACGAGTTTTTTTTTTTTGGTAATAACTTACAATAGTTGCTTTAGTGATCTAATTATTTGAAGAGATGACTTTTTATAGTTTAAGGATGTATTGTGTACATTCTCATAGTTAACAACACTTAATAATCTAGTTCGATATCTTATGAATGGTCTTTGTAAAAACAATCCTTGATAAGGGCAATTCATTCTTCTTCTCAATCGTTCTCTCATAGTTGAAAACCGTGACTCTTGTGTAGTTTTCTCACTGTTTCTCTCATCTTATTCCTATCTGTTGTAACTGTACAAACATAGGAAATTATAAAGGAAATTATAAATTGCACGAAGCTTCCCACTGGAATTTCCGCTTAACTTAATTTGTAAAATATGTACGTAAGTGAATCAGCCCTGTTCATTGCTCACTACGTTTGGTTAATAAACGATTGTATCAAGTGTTAGAATTTGCGAATATTGAGCGTTGTGTGTTTTAGAAGTTTATGTCATTGTTTAATCTATTTAAAATTAGTTAATAAGAAAACTTGGACGGCGAAAATCGAGGAACGTCTAAGGATTGTTGTTATTAAAACAAACAATAATACGAATGAAGAATTAATTGATAATTTAATTAGTCGGAATTTTTAGCCAATCTAAGGAGATTCTAAGGAGAACACAAGAAAAGGAGAAAAAACTAGTAGACAAATTATAATATAATTTGTAAATTATATCATAAGCGATTACGATTTTGAAGATCATAAAATGAACAAAGCTCTAACGTAAATAAAGAATAAAGAAATTAGCAATATATGTTATAAGGAGAATTAAGAAGTGAAAGAGAATAATGTTGGATTCACTACGAGGTCTGCACATCGTTTTGCATTCTCGTATCAAGGCTATACGAGGTCAATAAACTTTCGTTTGTGCATCAACTTGCGCACGGATCATCTCAATAAGTTCGTTATTTCCTTATTTACCATTCTATACCTTATAACGAGTAGACTATGGCTTAATTTTCTTTGTTTTATTTAATACCAATTTTAGGAGCAGAAAGGAGTTTATTTTCTATTAAGGTAGGTAATTGGCCTTTAATTAAAATTTCACGGGTTACAATATTATTGTTTTTCATTCAAGCTGTTCATAATGAAATGTTTGTTGTAGTTGTAAATTGTGCGTACGTAGTTGAAGTAAATGTCACAATACCCTCATCAAAACACAAACAGGCACATGACTCAATAAGAAGACACCCGGAATCTTACGTAAAAGTTGAAACGAACGATTCGGTCATTTAAATGCGATAGCTTACAAATGCCCGTTCAGATTCTGACCAGTTTAGTGCAGTACAGACTATCTAGTACAGTCTTTCATTCACTATATATTTAATATCTGATATACTCAACTAATTACCCCATTAAGAAATGGAGCAAGCAAGTCACCCTCTGGCAACCAAGAGACGGCAAACGAAGTAGGGGTCGGCAAGTCAGGAGATGGGAAGATGACTTGAAACAGACAGCGGGACCATTGTGGCTGAGAGTAGCAAGGGACAGGACCCATTGAAAGGAATTGGAGGAGGCCTATGCCAAAAGGCACACCGAACTTAGGGACCTCTTGTAACCCTATGTTTAGGAATAGGAATAATAAAAAGGCTATTATTATTATTATTATTATACTTAACTATGTAATACGTTTCTACTATAAAAAAGAGCTGAGATAATTTTTTAAAAGCATAGCCTAAATATAATCTAAGACCTTAAGGGAAGGGAAGGGATACAGCGCATCGATTGATTGAAGTAGTTGCCGTTGCTAGAGGAGCTAGCAATACAAAGCTTTGAAATTCAACTTATTTCTGTATCAGTACTTCATGAGACCTTTTAAAAATTTAGATAAATAAGTTTTTTAAAGTGACAACCAACTTAATTTATTCATTTAACGGTAAGCTAGAAACGATTATAAAGTTGCTTGTGATTCCGCCAATTTTGCAAACTTAATAGCATTGCTTCCCCTTATATCAACTATTCTCTTTGTTTCAAACTAAGCAGATGGCCTTAAGAGATAAGAAAATTAGAATGTATAAACATAATTAATTGTACTAATATAATTTTGTAAATATGAATTTGCATAATTCCGTTTTTAATAGTACATTGCATACCGACTACGTATTCAAAAAGCACTTCCGTGCTGGAATTAATAATTTTGTAAGTGATACCATGTTACCTTATTTATTTGTAGCATGTTACCATGTTACCATTACCATGTTACCATGCCATTACCAAAACTAGCCTTATGTTAGTCTTGTTCTGGGCATATTAAATTCTATGTGCACTGGAATTTCTTTATGTTATGCACAGATGGTAATTAATTAATGATATTGTTACTCATATAGTGAAATTATGAACTATAGAATGATACGACATTATACTTGAAAATTTTACACAGAAAGTATAAAGAATAATTTCACAAATGCTTTCTAACGATATTTTCGATGATACACACACTGTTGTCAATAAAACAATAATGCACTGGAATTGTGACAAAAGAAATTATTGTTTAGTTCAATTTAGTGATACTCGAATTCAACCTACAACTTATGTAGTTTAAGGATCTTTAATGTATATATTTCATGCAATAAGAAAATACCCGGAATTTGAGGTTGATAAATAAATTTTACTAATTTCGCTTCGACTTCGCCCGCATGGTCAAGAAAAAGCATTAGTGTCAGTTTCCCATTAGAATGAGATGTTTTTTCAGAAGAAATGATAGCCAATGACACTCTTCTGAGACCACTTTAAAAAAAAAAGTCAATCCGTTGCTTCATTGCAACGTGAAAAAAGGACAAAGAAACATACAAACAGACACTCTTTAACATTTATAATCTTGAAAGAAGCATGTACATATTACATAGTATCTGGTAAGCGGTTACTGAATACCAACGTGGATATGCGTTACATACTTTGCAAAACAAAAACATTCTTAACGTCAACTTTACAAATACATATTATATTTTTGTAGCCAGTATTATAATGTGTGCCACTTATGTTATAGGTGTGTCTCGCATGTTCGAGACTAGAAATATTGCGCTGAGTATTCAGTTTGAAGATACATATTATAATATACGAACCTTTTTTGAAAACGAATTCACCGAAAAACCTATTGTAACGAATAAGTTAGATTTTTTTTCTAGTCCGTCTTCCAAGGTAAGGCCAATATGGTAGTCTAGTTTGGGAATCCGCTTAAGCCGCTTTCAGACTACGCTATAATATAATAGCACAACAATATCGCACACCATACATTGTTATGTACACGTTCACACTGTACTATAGTATTTATAATTGGCTAAGTATAAGCTGCTATACTATATGGCACTATAGTATAGCGTAGTCTGAAAGCAGCTTTAATGTAGGATGTTTACTTTATTTATGCGTTTAGTAAATGAATGCTGCTTTCCGTTTACGTTGAAGCGACAGTTGCGACACCGAAAGCGGTCATCTTATACCTTTTACATATGTATAGCATATGTTCGATTGTTTGTATTACATTTACAATTTTGTAAATCGCTTTGGGTAGCTGAATCAGCCAGTTTAATGTAAACTTAAAAACGTCTCATCTTGAGAATGTTGTTATTTGTAATAGATGAGCCTATCTCATAACATAAAATTTAAATGAAGACAACATATTTTTAAGGATACTATAGTTGTTCGACTGCTTCAAATGAATCATTTCCTTGGAATTTAGCCACGTTGTAATTACTTATTGGGTGGTAATACATTGTCCTTACTTGCGAAGTCTGTCGGTACCTACTAAGAGTAAGAGCGAGTAATATGTGAGTCAGCTTATGAAAACAATTATTGCGAGACGAATAAATTTTAGAGTTCGAAAAACTATGGAATACAAATAATTTATTACGCAACGAGACAAAAACGGTATTATCTAGCAAACAATACAATTGACGGTATAATGATTTGATTGACGTATGATGAGAGGAAATGACTTAAGTACAGTAAAGAGTGGATTTTTTGGAGAATTGAGTCTACTATGAATATTTGCAATGTGTGTCTTGATTAAAAACTAAAAAACACGGGTAAATTTATCGGAAAAAAGTTATAATCAAGCAGGGCTATGGTTAATGATGCTCCAGGAATTCGAAGCTAAAACTATTTACTGTTATGAATACTGAAAAACATAGCTATATCTCAAGTAAAAAATACGTTAGCTAGCACAATATTCTCATCCACACCATGGGTTACGGACATGAAGGTTTTAGTTCAAGCCACAGATACAAAAAAAAGTATTTTGCGTATTTTTTATACATTTTGTACACGATTACCGGCAGAGAGATTATGCTTAGAGCCGAAATATCGGGAGCCCATTAAATGGGAAAATTCTGAGAAAAACCCGTTAAATTATAGTCTATGTCTGTAGATAGCCGCGAAAGTTTCAAACAATTCGAATATAGCTTAAATCTAAATATATTAACTTCAACATTTCCAATGAAATGAACAACAAAAACGAGTTGATTTGACATCTGTATCCGTTACGAACGTATCTAACAATGGCCAGTTTTTGCACAGTATTCAGTGCTATTCGACGGAAATTAATGAATGTTGATCAACTTCGTATAAAACACCTATAATGAGAAGACCGGAGCACGTTGTTGTTCATTATTGGCAGTAGCTTATCGGTCACAAATTTACAAATCAATCGTTTGTCAAACACTAAGTGGATATTAACATCGGATCCCATTGAAATGAAAAACGCTAAATTGTTATTGTAGCAAAGTTGCGACCATTCAAAGTTGTAATTCATTCGTACAAGACGACGAACGCGTATGTCAAAAAAAAACATTTACACAAATCAAAGTTTATTTAATACTCACGCGCACTGAGAGGTTCACCATGTTCACGCTACGGCGAGTGGTGGTAGAATGGTGACCAGGTGGTTGCGGCTGCGGACCTCGGTTGCCACCACCGAAGCTACGCTTACCTAGATACGACTGTGAAAGTACAATAATCGGAAGCGAATGAGATAATATCAGTTTTTAAATATGTATCATTATGATTTTAATTGAGATTGCTATCTGTCTGACCCTCAGAAATTATTTGCATTTCGTACTATATTTGTCTGGCGTGTCCTTAATTATCTTTTTTATGCTAATAGTATTATGACCAACAAAACTGTAACAATTAACAAACATTTTTTTACAGGGTAATAACCCTAGATTTACCAATCATATTTTATAGGATTATCTTTGATTTTTTTTTCATCCGACTTTTCGAACACCTTACAGTCTTCGTGGTCACAGACGACCAGCTATTACTAATTTTATTATTATTAGTATTTAATAAACATATTCTGTGTATCACATTTGACCGAAATACATAACATGTCAATAAACTCATCTGTAAATGTCGCAAGGGCTCTCACACTAAACCGTCTATGTCGACAGCAAAGATAAATTATGACGTTATAACATCTCTATAATGTCTGTGTTGCGTATTTTAACGAAACAAGATGACCGTGACCGATTTAACTATGAACTCCACGGGTAGTTGGGCTGTTGATAAAGCGTGTGTTTCGACTAGTATTTCTAACGAGACCACTAATGTAGTTCGTTTAACTTTTTTTAATTATTCTTAAAATTAATTAATCGTGAATAAATAATTTAAACAACTTGTTTGTTATCATATAACCGCTAAAATGTATCATTGATTGTATTTCTAGAACGATCGAAACTCATTGGTATTATATAGGTATATGCAGGAAGTATTGTTTTAATTAAATCCTAGTTAACCGAATAAAAAGTAGTTATTAAGTATTTTCTAAGTTTTTCACGAGTAGTAGTGATTAAAACACGTTTATGTCGATCAATTTATTTTACTATCTTTCACTTGAAACGAATTGAATTAATAAATGTATAATAATTAAATGATACTCTACTTTTTTTCAATTATTTAAAGTAGGTAAATCGATTGACATTAATCATCTATAAATACGATTATTGATAAAATAATAAGACTGGTGTGTACGGAGCGAAGGTATTAACGGAAGTACGCTTTCGATTCCAGTTTCTATAAGTCTTAACCGTCGTCCTTGATGGCGAATGCAACTGCGCTGTGCTTTGTCCCACTGAGCTGATAAGCTTCTTGCTTTTCGGTGTAATTGACCTCAATTATGTCACTCATGACATGAAGTTGTCAATCGATTTTTTTATTGAGACTTTTATCCTGTTTAAGTCAAGGGTAATAAAAAACATCGTCTAATTGAATAATATTTATTTTTTAATCACCAGATAAGTCATCGATGAAATTAATTATGGCTCGACGAAATATAATAGTGAAGAAGGAAACTTATTTTCCTATCACTAATGTAATTTTCCGATGCGTTTGATTTGTTTTTATTTTATAAGTAATCGATCTTACCGTACGATTTTATTTTAGTAGTATACTATTGAAGTTTTCATAACTGTATAAAACGTCAACTTGGAAATTTCTATTTCCTACAGGATTACCTGAAGGAAAAGCCTTTGTCGATTCATTGATTTGTCTTCGTACGATTTGCCTAGTTACTTATCAATCAATGCTTTTCTATTTAAAAGTTTTTTAGACAACTATTATGACTTTTTGGTGTGAAGTTGTTAACGTTTTATTTTTATACATTTTCTTTTTTTTTTCACCGTAAGCGTGTAAAAATGGCGGCGCTTAACATCTGTCAAATTAAAAAAAAAGTAATTCGTTGGACGCAGCATCTTAGGTTCTTCTGAAATGTAAATTGAAGTCTCAGTTAATTCTCACTTCTTCTTCATTGTTTTAAATTCTCTCTGAGGAGTGGAACTTCAAACTGTGGAATGTTTTTTTTTTAATTCTAACTTTTTTGGCGGATTTTCGCTGGACTGAAGTATTTTTGGAAATATCAAACTTAGCATGTTTAACCGTTCAATATGTAATATGCATGTATGTCATGATGCCATTTAGGTTGATAAAAATTTGAATTTTAATTTGAACGCATTATTACGTTACCTTAAAACTGTTGATTTCAAAACTGCATGTGTGATGTAACATAATCTGAATAAGGGCTTTCACTAATTTGTAAAAGGGCAAAATAGTTGCGTCAGTGATTCTATAAACAATTTCAAATTAAGCACATTAAATAATTTAATTACTTTTCAGATAATAATAATAATTAAGTATATTAGTTTAGAAGTATAATGGAATAAACTATGAAACAAAAACTAACTACAAGATGAGATTAAGAAGATTTCACTTTATTGATAGAAATACATTTTCGCTGTGAGCTATGGACTAAGCATACTGGATAATATTCGAAACGCTATATTCATATTTTTTGATGAGCTGCGATTTTCGGTAATACATCTGCATGAAAATAAATACTCAGAACTGTCATCTTGAGACATGAGCTATAAGTCTCAGTTCTATACGAAACGGCTACCCTATCCTTCAAACCAGAACATATTACTGTATCGCCGCAGAAATAACCGGAGTGGTGGAACCTACCTTTGTGGTGATAAGGCAAATTATAATTTGTGCGCTTTATTCTTATCTGCGCAAAATTTGTGGAGCTGAGACATGGTACTTTTGCCATGCCTATCTTGCTCATCTATACAGGGTTACAGGTTAAGTCGACCTATTCCCGTTAAGAGCGTGTAGCTTACATCGTTTCTGACTGATTTGACTATGAAACACCCTACCCTAAATCTAACCGATCTGGAGATATTTCAATTTCATTGTTTTTTATAAAAAATACCCGATTTTCGGCTATCAGCTTAGATATTCTAAAATGCGTAAGTCTTATTATTATTATTACATGATTTTTACTTGTAAAATAAGATGCTATATGACCCCAATAACTAATATTTTACGTAAAATGAATAAACAAGTCGTTTTAGACGATTAAAACTTATAAAAACGAATAAAAAATTACAATAATTATTTTTCTTTCAAGGATATCTTAAAAAAATATTATGGCGCCTGTTTGGCAGATGTGCTTAACAATATCTACGTTTCATCAGCTATCCAACGAGGTATAGCAATCTAGGGCTTAAATAAAACATCATAGAAAATATTTAGTTGCGAGCCTCTAGGTACCAGTTCTAACAGTCCCTCGCGAATTATCCTTCAATGTTAATGCAGTGCGTGCGAGCGAGACAGCCTGAATGTGTGGATGGGCATTATTTCCATTCATTTGATTGGGCCTTACTTTCTCCCTGACAATTTAAATGAGGTATACTATGAACATTTCCTGCGAGGAGACCTAAATGACCTATTAGATGATTTGACACTCAATCTGATTCAAGACGTGGTTTCAGCATGATGGCTGCCTTGCGCATTTCAGGAAAAGTGCCAGAGAATAGCTAGACACAAATTATCCAAACAAATGAATTGAACGAGGTGGGCCTATACCCTAGCCAGTCATAAGTCCGGACCTAATCCCCATGGATTTTTATGTGTAGGGGGACACATAAAGAGTCTCGTGTACAGTGAGCCCAACCTAATTTCATCAATTGAAGTATTGAGAGACAGGATTATTAATGCGGCGAATGAAATGAGAAGGAAAGTAAGTACTGGTGTAATAAAAGTGGACTTCGTAAAATAATGCGAACATGAGTGCAAAACAGTTACGGACATAATGGGCATGAAATTTAGACCTTAGGATGTTTTGTTGGAACTTGAAAGTTTAATAAATGTAGTATCTTGTACATACTTGTTTTATTTAGCCTCCCCTGTAGCCTATAAAACTAAGTGTTTTCGACAATTTTTTGATAAAACCTTAGATTGCTATACCTCGTTGGATAGCTGATGAAACGTAGATATTGTTAAGCACATCTGCCAAACAGGCGCCATAATTTTTTTTAAGATATCCTTGAAAGAAAAATAATCTTTCTAATTTTTTATTCGTTTTTATAAGTTTTAATCGTCTAAAACGACTTGTTTATTCATTTTACGTAAAATATTGGTTATTGGGGTCATATAGCATCTTATTTTACAAGTAAAAATCATGTAATAATACTTACGCATTTCAGAATATCTAAGCTGATAGCCGAAAATCGGGTATTTTTTATAAAAAACAATGAAATTGAAATATCTCCAGATCGGTTAGATTTAGGGTAGGGTGTTTCACAGTCAAATCAGTCATAAACGATGTAAGCTACACGCTCTTAACGGGAATAGGTCGACTTAACCTGTAACCCTGTATATGTCAATAAAATTGGGGTGTCTGTTTGTAATATTGAAATAGCCGCTTTTTACTACATGCAGATGAATATATATACGGTACATACACCAAAATATATTTTTTTACAATTTTTGTCTGTCTGTCTGTCCGTTTGTTCCGGCTAATCTGTGGAACGGCTGGACCGATTTTGACGAGACTTTCACTCATAGGTAGCTGATGATATAAGAAGTAACTTAGGCTACTTTTTTAGACTAGCTTCGCCTCACGGCGTCACCCGCGGTACGACAATAGCCGCGGGTAGCATCGCGGGACTCAGCTATCAATAATAAAATTTAATGTTTCAGAGGCGAAGCGAGGGCGGGTCGCTAGTTGTTATTAAACGTAATATTAAAAAGTTTGTGAGTGAGTGAGTGATGACTGCTGATAGAGGAGAATAGGTTAGAAAAAATCTGTGTGCCGACCCCATCTAGTGGGATAAGGTGGAGAAAAAAAATAAAAATAAAAAGAATATTAATGTAATGTTGTACTTTGGGAGGTGTTAAAGGAAAACGGCTTCTTGCGTGTATTCCATGTTTAATAATCATCTTAATCCAAGTTTACAATTATGAAGAAGCCTATGTTTCTGGGTGGTCCGCCTTATTAGGGGGACATACGAGATAACACCTATTAATTATGTTATATACTAAATGCTATGCTATAATATATAAGTATACACACTTCATTAAAAAGTGTTGTGATATTAATGACTTGTGTTTACCTCCGGCATTGCTCATATCCATAAGTGACGGTAACCACTCACCGTCA